ATCTGACTGAAATTAAATTAATAAAAAAATATAATTAATGTACTAATAGTGACCACGATTATGCAAATATTCCAAATTACAGCATTCTTTTGAATACAAAAAAAGCTTTGATCATATATAATGCCAGATACGTAGCTAAAATAATATATTAAAAAAAAAAATTATATGCATTATATATATATATATATATATATATATATATATATATATATATATATATATATATATATATATATATATATATATATATATATATATATATATACAAAATTCTAAAAGGAACCCCTGAGTTGAGTATAGCAGAGCTCAGCTAATAGTTCATACTGCATTGATAAATTTGTGATATCTATTTGAAAAACTAATTTATAATAGTTTATTTTGAAAAAATTTTCAGCTGCTTACCATGCAATTGTGTTATTAACCTTCTAGCACACAGCATTGGGTAGTTAAGAACTAAAAGGTACATAAATTGTATAAAAAACAATATTAAACAATTAATTTATGGTAAAACTTAAATTAAAAGAAAGTAAATAAAGAAAATATAAACAAAAAATGATTAAAATTCTTTCAGTTTTTCACATTAAAAATAATTATTTGAAATTTGTTTGGAAATTGTTAAATTGAATAACTACTACGGTTCTTTTTTTTTCTTCTACTTCTACTAATAGATTATAACTAGTGGAACCTAATAGTTAACTACTAGGTTTAGTTATAATACTAGTTCCTTGTGTGTTCTTACTAATGTTAAATAAACTAATTTCTAATTAATTTAACTAAAGGTTTTATCTTATTTAATTAAATTTATTTTTTATTTTTAATAAATTTAAAAGAATGATATAAACTTATTGTTAAGAGTATATTTTGTTGAACAATTATATAAATTTAGAAATACATTTTAGAAATTACGTAAATATGTAATATTTACGTAAGTTTCTAAAATTATATATGATTTTGCGTTTCTTTATAAATTAATTTCTATGTAAAACCGAAAATTATATTTGCATTTGAAGCTTTGTTTATTTTTATATAAAAAAGAAATAAAAGTTTGTAACAAAAATTTCTTTATTTGCAAACAACCAAATACGCCGCCATCTTAGGAGGCCAAAACTGGCTCCAAAAAATTTGCCGTATACCTATACAGTTATATTTTGAGATCAGCGATATATATATATATATATATATATATATATATATATATATATATATATATATATTATATATATATATATACATATATATATCTGTGTGTGTAATAACGTAAATAGATAAATAACTAAAAAGCAATAATCTTATGCTTAAAGTATGCTACATACTTTATGTATGTATATATCCATGTATTTATAAATGGATATATACATACATAATATATACATTTGTAACATACATACGTACATATATAAATATGCGCTCGTGACAGTATATACTATAACGCACCATACAAAATTCATTAGATTTTATGATAAATTAAAGTATTTATCATAAAATACAATAAATGTCAAATTCAGATACATTAACGTATTTATAACTGAAAAAATAATCATAAATATTGTATAGTATATAATAAATTTATTTAGCATAAAAGTAAACTTATTTGTTCCAAGTAAAACTAATAATAAACTCGATAAGCTTATTTGTTTGGACACCATTTTTTATTTTTCCAAATATAAAAAATTTCTTTGATAGCAGTTTTAACAGAAGGGTATAGCAGGGTTAGATTTGGGAGTAACAGCCTTCCGATAACTAGATTTTCTCGTGCCGTTAACTAAATGTAGACATTAGAATACGAGTTTATTTAATCGCTGGCGTTAAAAACTGCTCTTTTACTTTTAACCACCCTATAGCATATCGCAGGGTTTTACGGAGGGATGTGAAAATGGCTGCAACTTGCAAAACTTTTAACAGTCATGGGTAGTCCTGACCAGACTGTCAATCAACTGTTTGGGCAAAATACGTCATTAATTATTCATTTATGTCATTTCTTTTTAATAAATAAATATAAGTACTAATTTAATTTTAACACTAATTATTCATTGATGTCATTTCTGCTAATAAGCAAAAACATGCTATCAGAATAATTTCTAATGAAGATCGTTTTACACACTCCAAAGAACTACTTATAAAGCTAAATATACTCACCGTCTACCAAATAAACATTTATCATCTTTTAATTTTTATGTTCAAAGTTAATTCAAAAATAACACTTAACATTTTTAATTCGTTATTCATAATAAATAAAAATAGATACTTAACCAGACCTACTCAGGCAACTCTTATATTCAACCTAAAAGTTTTTTTGCAGCAACGGAGTTTTCAATATCTATTAGAGGTCCAAAACTATGGAATAAATTTATATTTAATAAACATAAAACTCATGAAACTTTTAACGAACTCAAAGTAAAATTGAAACAAATGCTTCCGGTTAGTGACGTATTTTATGATATTTATGATATTTTATGGTGTTGAAAATAATCTTAAATTTAGGGTTGTTCGCCGAAAAACA